GGCTGAAGGAGGGGGACAGGGAGGATGGAAGAAAATCGAGGTTTAATAGGACCTTCGCTTAAATCCTGCAAGTACAGCCTAGCATGAGCCTCTTAAGCAAAGCAATCAAAAATTCACAGTACTTTCAGTCAGCCTTAGCGTGTGGATAATAGAAAGGGCTATGAGTAAGATCGATTAAGTCTACAGTCAAGACTAGGACACCAAGGACTAGCGCTGCGTATTATCTTAACTTTCTACCCTTCATTGACAATGACATCTTCGGTTCAATCGAGGTGAATACAGAGTTTCCACAGAGGGTAATAACACATAATCGAGAGCTTGGGATACATAAGCATGCCTGCAAAGTTTCTCAGCATCAAGCTAATGCAAATTCACATTCTCTGGTATTCATTGCCCAAGTCCCTACCTCCACCTCCTCCTCAAAGCCAACCCCTTACAGTCCCAAGTCTCATTCTGAACAACCATCGCGCGCAACTTTTCTGCATCCACAACGTGACCCTTCAGCTTCCGCACACCCTCTTCCACAACTGGCATAAACCGCACCTCCTTGCTCGTGATCTCTCTACCATCCTCTCGTTTGGGAGCAACTTGAAAATACCCCAGCCTCTTCGCTACATCCGTGACAGTGAAGAATAACTCTCTGACTCCACAGTTCCATTTCCTGGCAGGCAATTGCGACATAGGCCAGAATAGATCAAGGATGTATTTATGATGGATGACAAGGCTGCGGACTTGAGCGTCTTGACCTGGAGTCGCTGCTTCGGCAATGTGCTGATCGAGAGATTTGATTATTTCGAGCCAGACATCTGGTCGTCTTAGGGAGACTGTGTCGGTTTGGGAGTTGAAGTAGAAACTTGAGTTGCCGCCACCGTGAACGAGGATGTAGAAGTGTAGAGCTTCGTCTCGGGATTCGCGACAAATGGAGAGGAGACGTGGGGGAAGTTGGCTGCAGTGGAAGATGAGCACCTTGGTTTCTAAGTCGTACGATGTACGTATAGGAAGGAGACGAGGTTGTTGAAGTGTGTATTGCCATATCCTCAGGCGGATTTCAGTTGGAAGGAGGGGAAAGCAGGTGAAAGTCCTGAAAGTTGGGTTGGACGACGCCAACATGGTCGATGAAAGGAAATTTGTGTATTAGTCGGTTTCTATACGTATTTACTTCTTGGTGCTGAAAAAAGGATCGTGACTTCAACATTCGGGTAACAAAAGGAAGGACTCGAGATGTTCTCCCAAAATTGAGCCTACAGTATGTGCTGACTAAGCTTACCATTAAGCCACCAATGGCTAAAAATACATGCGTGGCGGTTTCGGTGAGAAGGTATTATGTTCCATAACTCGGTCTCCTGCATACTCCCCTAATTTTCCGGATGCTTTTCTATTTTTGGCTTAGTATTGGCTACGATGCAGCGGGGTTTTGTGCGTGGCCTGGTGTTGTGCCAGTCTGAGCTCTACCGTGGCCTTTGAGACTGTACGCTCGAGACTTCCTCAACTTTGGGTTCCGAAGCATACTTGAAATTGTGATTTAGAAGAAGGGCGGTGTATTTGGTCTCAGCATAGCCCGGCTTGTGGCTGACGCAGGCCAAATCTTTTCGGTAAGAACTGTGCAACGGATTCCTGTCAAATATCTCGTCCATATGGGGAGCGATTGAGACTATCAAGGAGCTAGTCTTTTCGTACATTCTATTATTAAGGACCACACGCCAGGTTTGTTTCTTGCAATTTGCCTTTCTCAGTACATACACTCATGCGACTCGGAATATGAAAGTTACTCAAATCTGTCATGCATGGATGCAAAGACAGGGTCATCAAACATCCCCATCTCCATGAATTGTAAGCGACACAACAACCAACCGATTTTGATTTGTCGCTCTTTTCCACCTTATCTCCTTTCCTCATGAAGATTTTCGGATGCTTGCATATATCCTGTTTCCACATAAACTCGGTGACCTTCCCATCAATACCACGAGAGAACCCTAGCAGCCCAGTGTGTAGTAGCTCCAATCGAATTGATTCGGAATTTGCCTCTGCCAAACGCTCATCTTATGTCGGAGGAAGTAAACTGTAAGTGTTTTGTTGCGAAGACTCGAGTCAATGCTAGGTATCGTGGAGTGCCGGATCATAGATGAAAAATCCCTTGTCGTCTCAACTGTTTGTCAAAGTTATGTTGTTCGCCATGTCATTCCAACAATTCCATCCTAGTATTGAAGAAGTCTTTGTTATCCGGGACCATTTGAGGACATATATTGATTCGTTCTGATACTTCTCGAATGGGGGGCCCATTGGTCCCCAATGAATCCAGCACACTGTACGTACACTGCCATGAGGTCTTCACTTAGCGACCTAGACAATGCGTTTTGGTAACACTACCTCTAGAAGAAATTCATTGCATTTCGGGAATCTTCACCCCAATTTGCTGTTTACAAGATACGATCATGTAAAATACGAACAATAAATCCAAAGGTACTGTATGCGTAGAAAACAGCATCGCCAGAGATAACTTGGAATTTCGATATCGAATGCGGGAAGGCGAAACAATTCATGAGGCCACATCCAAGGGGAAATAACGCAAAATTATTCTTCCATAAGTTGCACTGAAATACCATATCCAAAACTTTCATTTGTATCCCTAGAAAGTTTGCCTCCAAATGTGGCAACGAACGCTTTCGTCCGTTTATTTCGATCGGCCACTCAGGCTTGAGCAGGCTGCCGGCTCACTTGTACAACTCGCTGGCAAAAGCGACCCCATTTGAGGTTGCAACATCTGGGTCTGGATAGTACCAAGTCGCGACAGCTATCACGAGATAAACGATCTACAATAAGTCAGGTCAACAAGAACCACTTTAGATAAATTGGATTTTTTGTCTTGACTTACGACCAACAATCCCCCCTCAAGAGCATTAGACTCCCCATCACGGAGAAAATTCCCCACAACTGAGATGGACAAAACAAGCAGAACAATCATGAAGATCTCGAAATTGAGATCCATAGGTTTATCGAGGACCCAGCCGATGATTACGACCAACGGTGCGTTGAAAAGAGCGGTTTGGATAGAGGGGCCTAGACAATGGTAGAGTGCGAAGTTCATCTGACCGTCCCAGGCCTCGTCGATTGCGGTTAGATGCTCAGCGGCTTTTTCGACCAGTGGGAGGAGGATCAGGCCGAGGAATTGATCTGGGATGCCGGCTTCGACGACGTCTTCGATGCGGTTTACGAGGAGGACGGCTAGGATGGTGACAAGTATCACGGAGCTGGTGATGGCGATTATGCATTCTGTCAGTGTGAATTTAGGTTTCGCCACTGTGATTCATTAGCGTCGATCAAGAAACTATTTTGAAAAGCGGTGTCTTGCGGGATGCAGTGGGTGAAAGCTTTCGCTTCGTTTGTTTGGAATTAGGAGTGGGCAAGACATACAATCTTCATGATGATCAAGATCATCATGTTCATCTTGCTCCAAAACCTCGTCGAAAATACTGTGGTTTGTTCGTGCATTATACCAAATATACCTGGGGACAGTCAGCTACCTTCAAGATACCAAATCAGAGCAACGCCTTACATGCCAAACGCGATCATCAACAGTATCGATGTGATTCGACTTATGCCAAGTATATCATGCTCTAGTTTCTTGTCTGTGAAGTCATGGCGACGGTGAGGCTCTGAATGGGGGATTGCCGAGCCCTTCAGTGCTGAGTAGAATGCACTTGGGATGAGTAGTCCAAATCCAGCAACCAGCAAGAGACCGTTGCCAACTTCGCTGACAGCAGCGTGAAAGGTCTGGACTTGCTGTCGGATTCCACCGACAACGAAACATAGACCTAGGCATAGCAACAAGTTGGTCAGGATAGACCCAAGAATCGCGGCCTGAATGATCGGAATGAGATTTCCATGCTCGGCTGCGCCTTCACCAGTGCTCGCTTGGTGCTTGATGATGAGTATCAAAAAGAGAACAATCTCAACTATGGACCCCTGAACAATCGAACAAGTCAGTTTATAGACTTATGAACTTAGGGTATCGAAGCCCATGAAAGCGTACAAAAGTAGTCTCGATGAGAATTCCCGAAACCTTAGGCATCTTCCGAGCAAACTCTTGGCCCGCAAACCCGAGCAAGTTGGCCGCAGGAATCATGCCGATATAACTGATGACGAAGACCCAGATATCGAGATGCGGAGTGACAAAGTTCATGATAATTGCCAGAAAACAGAATGGCCAGAGCAGATTGACTGCCATGGACACTTGGTTTGAACTTCGCCATAGGACTTTGAAGAAATGAACTGGATTGAATCCACGTCTCCCGCTTTCGCCGTCGGGGTGAATTGTCTGGGGGAGGAAGCTGGGGAGAAGGGCGTTTGTCTCGGTCGGCGAGCCCGGACCCTCGTGGCTGCGAGCATGGTGGTGATTTGAAGGGCTCATGTTTGCAGGTGTTGATGAGAGAGTGAATTGAAATTGTGACAGCTCTAGAGAAGAGGGGAAGAAACAAAGAGCGACTTGTGACGTCTGCAAAGTGGCAGAAGAAAGTTTGATAAAGTTACACCTAGCTCTAAGCGTGGACTTGGAATCCAATGAAATGCGTGAATTGTTTCAATTGATGGCTTGGCTGGCTTGACCTTGGCTTGGAAATGGAAAGGGACAAGATATTACTAAGCACTCATTGGGCAAAGTAGTGAATCTCACCGGACAGCGATATAAAGAGGTGAATAGAAATGCTATCGTGGGCTAAGCCATCCAAAGGCTAGAGTATAAATTTCTCTACAGTAAGTGAAACATCAATTCTTCACCTGAACTTCGTACTGTAGCGTTTCATGATTGAAGTTGGGAATTGTTCAGGTGGGTCGAGGCGCACGAGGGAACAAAGAAGGACCACACAAAGAGCTACGTTCCCTCGCTAAGCCAAGCCAAGCTAGGGTGGATCAATCCAAGTTTTAATCGATAAGAGGCGATAATACACTAATAAGATCATAAATTAAAATAAGGACTCGACAATCTCATCGGATCTTCTGAATATGGTCGCCTGGTGTAGTGGTTATCACGTCTGCTTTACATGGTTCAATCGACCTCCTATCGCAGCAGGTCGCCGGTTCGATCCCGGCGGTGACCTACGGGATTGCAGGAGCTTCTTGCTTTTGATTTTTTGTCCACTAGCACCTTGGATTTCAAAAAGTCATTGCAAGTTGGAATGGCGGACTTGGCGCCGTCTTAGCGACATATTTTTGAGGATGAAATAGCCAGGCATTGGCCGACTCGTTTTAACCGAGGCTGGTACCCCGCATCGCCTCAGCCGAAGGTACATAGAAGGTATCGTTGAAAACAATGGCTGTCAAGTTCCATTCAAACAGTTACAGTATGAAAGTAAAGTCAAAGTAGTGACTTCCTAGCATACAATTAATTGGGTTTTTTTTTTAATTAACTTGTTACATATTCATTCAATCATCATATTGACCCCCTTCTAACCCCCTTCTAACCCCCTTCTATCAAATACAACTACAATTCACAACCATGCCACCCAACCCCTCCCACGGCGCCATGAACTTCGCCCTTCCCCCCGACCTCCAAACCTACCTCTCCAAAATCGACGACTTCATCGCCACCAAAATCGACCCTCTCCAATCCTCAAACGACAACATCCGCTTCTTCGACCACCGCCGCGAGCACGCCCGCACCGACTGGGACAACCAAGGTCTCCCACGCGACGAGTGGGAAGACCTCCTCGCTCAAGCACGCAAGCTAGCCGACGAGGCCGGCTTCTACCGCTTTTGCTTGCCTGAGGAGTTTGGCGGGCAGAATGGAGGGAATCTGTGGATGGCTGTGATTAGAATGCATCTTGCGAAGAAAGGGCTGGGGCTGTTTAATGATTTGCAGAATGAGCATAGTATTGTGGGGAATTTCCCGGATGTGCTTATGGTGAGGGAGTTTGGGACTCAAGGTATGTTTTTGTTCTCATGTTCGAGCTGTGAATCCGAGTTGTATATCATGTGATGTACTTGCTTACCTTGGTACGATAGAACAAAAGGAGAAATTCATTGCTGGAAGGCTCGAAGGAAAGGTTGGATTTACTTTCGGGCTGACCGAGCCCGACCACGGGAGCGATGCAACTCACATGTCCACCCGCGCTGAAAGATTCAAAAAAGACGGCGTCGATGGATGGAAGATCAACGGGAGGAAGATGTGGATTAGCGGCATTCACAAAGCTACTCATTGTCTAGCATTCGCGAGGACGAATGGGAAAGCCGGGGATGCAATTGGTATCACAGCTTTCTTTATTCCGAAGGACACTCCTGGGTTTGAGATTGAATCTTATGAATGGACTTTCAATATGCCGACGGATCATGCGAGTAAGTTCAAGATCTATCACTGCATTGTGTTTTAAGTGAAAATAACACCTCATCTAGCTCTGAAATTCACCGATGTATTCGTACCCGACTCCGCAGTTCTTGGGAAAGTCGGACACGGCCTCCCAATCGCACAGACATTCGTCCACGAGAACCGACTACGTCAAGCAGCCAGCTCCCTCGGAGCTGCAGAGTACTGCATCGAAGAGAGCATTAAGTATGCTAGGAAGCGGAAGCCGTTTGGGAAAGAGCTGTCGACGAACCAGAGTATTCAATTTCCGATTGTAGAGCTCTCGACTCAGGCTGCGATGTTGAAATTGTTGATTTTAAAGACGGCGACGGAGATGGATGGCATGACGCAGAAGGAAATTGAAAAGGATCTGGGGGACAAAGTTTCGATGTGTAATGTACGCGCTTGCTCTCTTTGTTCTGATGAGTCCTTACTGACTGGTGGTAGTACTGGGGAAATCGGCTTTGCACCCAGGCAGCTGATCGGGCGATGCAGATTCATGGTGACTAGACTTCACGCTTTTTGAGAACAAATGTTGACCTTCACACAGGTGGGATTGGATATTCCCGACACAAGGCGTAGTGAACCCTCTCTGTATTGTAAAAGATGAACAAGTGATCGACTAACCCCCACGTAGCTTTGAGCACATTTATCGTCACCACCGTAAGTCCATCTATACACATGCCTTGATGTTAACTAACATCATCAGGTCGTTACCGCATAACCGAAGGGAGTGAAGAGATCCAGATGAGGAAAGTAGCTGCGTATCTATTTGGATATGTGGGGCCTAGGAAAGTAGAGCTCTCAAAAATGTAGAATATCAGATACCTCATTGGCTATACTATCATGTCTTGAAGCGCCTGTCTTGCAGTAAGCACCCAAGGGGAAAGGAGTATGGCAGAATGTACGAAATTATCTGTGTTGACTTTGAAAATCAGGACATAAGAATTCAGTCAAGGTTGGGATTGGGATTGGGAAAAATATACATACTGTTCAGATGAGCAAATGAGCAGATGAGCAGATCTACACATGTTCAAAAAGATGAAAAGATAGAGTTTATACTCCGCATTCTAGTGCAAATACCCCTCCCCGAACCATATACCCCCTCTGTACCATTAATCACCCTCTCAGACCGCGCGCAATCGCTGAAGTCAAATTGCCAAACCCCAACTCACACCCCCCCTCAAGAACAATACGACTCCTCCCCAACCTCCGCAAACTTCGACTCCGCCTTCTTCCCTTCTCCAACCCAAAAATCTCGTGAAAGCGCATAACCATTGACCTCCACTTCTCGACATCTATCCTATTACGACTCTCACACCCCTCCAACCTCAACTCCTGCTTAACATGACCCCTCAAAACCCCCACCTCAAGCGCAACCATCTCTCCCTCAGTCCCCTCTCTCCCCTCTCTCCCCTCCACATCCTTCAACAGACTATGAACATCCATCAACCCCCCCTTCATCTGCACAGGATACTCCCCTATCCCCGGCGGATTCACCATCGCCGAGGCCACAGGCGTCAAGTCCGCGAGTGTGAATTTATCGTTTACGCATCTATACTCGAGCTTGATTTTCCGGGCTGGGACGTCAGGGGTGCCGGTCGTAAGAGCGAGTCCGTTGATGGGAGAGGCCATGGTGTCGGAGGCGAGGTTGAGGACGTATTGACTGGTGCGGAGGAGGTTGATGGTGTTTGCGAGTAGGATGCTAGGCTAAGCATGCAGCGCGGAGGACATGGGCGCGATGTTGGGCGTGCCGTCTTCGTTTGTGGTGGTGATGAGGACAACGATGTTGCCCCCTAGAGGCCGGCGGGGGATTTTTAAGTGTGCATTGTGATGATGGGGTAGGGTGAAGTGAGGTGAGGGTGATGCTGAGATTGAGACCGAGGGAATGGGGACGGGGATGGAGGCTATATACATTTTTTATTATTGCAGTGGAGGCTTCTCGTTGAACTCGCACGTCGACTCGCATAAGGTAAAGACAGAGAAAGTCATGGAGGTAGGAGATACTGAGTTTAGACTGTCTGTTACGACATTCAAAGAAATGTAGAGCACATTTCTAGATGCAAAAGTCAATAAGAGACCAGGTATGTCGACATCGAACCACCAACACAGATAATGATACATGACTAATGACAATGAAAGCAATATCCGTACAGAGGTTGAGTGCTAATGGGTTTGGGCAGACATGGATTGGTATTTGAGTAGTAGAGACACTTGTTCGATTGGCTAGTTCGAAAGCAACCTACAAGCATGAGTGCTCGCCCTACTGAAGACCCTGATAATACCTTGAGACAAACCACGGTGTTGGAATGTCCGTTTTCGAATGATGAGTGGAAAAGTTCGAGAAGTAAGGGGAAGCTACAGGGAATCAACCCATATTATGAACAAGAAAAGAAGCTTCTATTCTATTCTATGATGCTTGCTGGCTGCTTGCAAGATATGCATGATAAAGTGGCCGTGGTCTCATCTTCATATTTGAGCTCATTGGTTCTCAGTAGCTGCCTCGAATTTCAAGACTTTCTGCGGCTTTGTATCCATCTGCTGCCATTGATGCCAGCTGTTCGGAGCTGTTTTCCGGATTAGCAACCGATCTTTTTCAGGCGAGAGCAGGAAATACCTTGTAGGATGTATCTATTCATGGCTTCACGAAAGCGACTCTTGTATTCCTAATTTTGCTCAGTTAGCAAGGTTTGACGGATTGATCAAGTCGCCATACCTTGGGGGATGTGACTGTCGGCCGGTTGCGCCCACCACCTGCAAATCCTCGATCCTTGATCCAGGACTCTAGCTTTTTGTCCTTCTGAAGGTCAGTTGACGTCAAACTCCTTTTTGTGAATATACGCACCCAAGTGTATGTTCTAACAACATCAATGATCCCTACGACGAGTTCTTTCCTAGCCTGTGGAGTGTTAGGTCGAGCTATATCAAGTTTCTTCAGCACATACCTCATCAACAGCCACCATGAGTGAATAGTCCATGACATCGTTTCTTTGTAAGAATAAAGTGTCATTGAAAATGGCAGCTCGAAGAAGCTTTTTAGAATGCTACACCGAATTAGCAGTTGTCTTCCGACTGTGTGCCGGTTCATACCTCGCGCGCAAATAGTGGCGACTCGTAGATGAATTCCACCATGTTCTCGTCCAGAAGTACTTCATTTTGCTCGCCAGTCGACTGAATTTTGCGATTTCTCATCGATCCCTTGAGGTCAAAAATTCGAGTCGGCGATCGATCATAAAACAAATTCTCCATGACTAGAACGTCCCATTTGATCTCTGTCCCAGTGACGGGGTTCTTAATGATGATCTGATAAAACCCAAGCATCTTTGCAATGACCGTGGGCAGATCGTGGAAGAGAGCCTCTGCCATGATATTGAAGTAAGCAGGGGCGAATTTGAGGAAAGCCGCCGTCTCTGTAGGCGAGAGCGACTTGAGAACTAGTCTGTCGTCTAACGTCTTTAAGAAAACTGATTTGGTTTTTCCGCCCTTGGAATCCCACTTCAGACATCGTGAAAGCGATTCGACAATCCGATCAGAGACTCCACATTTCCGGCGCACCGCATCAAATTGTTCGGCGAAGAAGATTTTGCATTGCATTTTGGCGGAACCATCGGTAAATGAATAAGCCAAATGAGTGCCAGTTGCTCGAAGCAACGATGTCTCAACCTCGGCCTGATCAAGTTCATCCTCACGGACATCTGGAGTGCCATCCTGCTCTGGCATTTTGGGGTCCTCTCTTTTGTTGATGGCTTCGCCTTGACA